ACTTTCATTCGAAATGAAGTTCCCCCTAACAATGATATCTCAGGAGATTCATCGAAACCAAGTTTTTCTTTGTTGATTTCTGTCGCCTACCCAATCTTTCGCTCATTGACAGCGAGCCACGTGTTCGGCCAATTCCGACTTTTGGATGCACAGACCCTTGCAAGCTGATTTGTGCTCAGATAACCTCTTAGGTGTGAGCGTACAGATCTCCCCCACAGAGGCGTTTCGGCATGAACGCAAAATCTTGTAACAGCATGATCTGGAGAGCTGGTCAGAATATTCTCGAAAAGAGGGCAGTATCGAGGCAAGTGTTATTTTCTCTTTATTAATAGTCCTGATGTCGCACATTTTGACTACTTCGTCAATATATTTTGACAGATTACGCGATGACAGCATAAGGAATCTGGTCGAGTGAATATAAGCAGAGTTTTGAGACTGCCAGTAAATCAGTAATATGCGAGGTATTTACCATATTTCGTTTAAGGTGATGAAGGACTGGTAGAAGAAGAATTTTCCCACAATGATATAAGTAGAGCTGACATTTCCATTCAATTTAACATAGCTTTGCTTTCCCAAAAGTTGTTCTCATCCATGGTTAACGTGTCAAGTTCACGCGGTTCGACTTCCGCTGACAGTGTTGCTAAGACCAATACGAGGTCGAAACTGCAGTCCACTTTTGTGTGGATGAGAACAACTTGTAGGAAAGCAAGGCTATGTGAAATTCAATGGACACGTCAGCTCTACTCATATCGTTGTGGGAAAATTCTACTATAATTTCTTCATCACCTTAAACGAAATAGGATGAATACATCTCATACGTCTGGTAGAGTGGTCTAACTTTTCCTCCGGCCTAGAATATGTATTTCCCTCCCTCCTAGTTGACAATATGATGGCCAAAACCACCGTCAGGGTCGCAGGGTGGCCTACAATCACAGCTCCTCTACAGTTTCCGGTGAGGCCAACTTACGAATCCCTTCAAACGAAATGAAAGGTACTTCAATATTCATTAAATTATTTTCTCAACATTCAATTCACTCAAACACGCATTTAGTCAATCAGTTCCACTTTCACTAATTCGTGGACTCAGCCACTCTCTCCATCCCCTTCCACAGTCAAGTGTTCACACACTCATCGACGCCTCTTCATCGGCCTCCCATTCACCCCATCTCCCTACCACTCGCCCACAAACACCCACACGTGCACCACCGTCTCCAGGACTGCTGCTGGTCGGGCACCCCCGACATGCGGACCCTCGAGCCTGCCACCACAATTGCCCATTGTCAGGCCACAAGTGGGACGCTGGGCAGGTTCATCAAGTTGCTGCCCCATTTGTACCAACCCAACCGACAAAATGGTCATGACATATGACCGGCTTGGATGAAACGCACCAGAAGCCAGCAAAGTGCCCAGCTCGAGACCAGTCAATGGTCGCTCGGCGATCTCAAGTCTTCGGCCGCGTCATTTGAAGCCGAGGTTTGGCGGGACGCTTGAGGAAGTTGTTATTTAGCCGTTGCCGACGAGAGCACGACCCAGCAAAGGGAAAAACGCCAGTCTCCGATGTGGACTTGATGAAAAAGGCAATATGCAAACTGGCTGGGGGTCAGCTCTGTGTTACTGCCCCACCTCCGCCACCCCGTATCGGGAGATTGCCTCACTTGCCCAGCCCATACGGTCCCCGGTCCTCCAATCGCGGTAGTAACAGTCCATCGTCTGCCCCGTCTCCAAGCCTCGGGGCGCTAATCTCCACGCCGGTCGACTTGGCAACATATCGACGC